ATATCTGGGAGTTGCCACCATTGAGCTTCCTCCCCATATCTGTCCATGAGTTTGCTTGTTCTCGTCAAGAGAGAGGACTCTGGCAAGTGGAATTTCTGGACCACGGGCACAAGGAATTAGGCTTGACTGTATTGAGAGCAGGAATTTTGTCTAGTTCATGGCTGTTGCCCCAGGACCTACAAAAGGTGCATCATAAATATTTTGTGATTGAGGATGAGGCTAAATTACAAATCCTTCCTGAGTAGGTATTAAGGGAATCTAATCAACTCCTTTGGTTTAGTTGAGCAACCCAGTTAACAGGGTATTGTCCAGCCTTGCAAAACACCAGAAGCTGCCATGGAACTCAGAAGGGGTAAGTAATATCAAGACACAGGCATTGGTGCTAGGTTGTTAGGATGGCTCCCATCCTGCTTCTCTGTTGAGGGCCTGCAACTTGGGTCGAATGAAGGACTGAGAAGGTTTTCGCTGCCTCAGCTTTTCCCTGACCTCACGGATGAAGGTTCCACAGATGTTGTTTCCTTTGGAAGATCTCTTGCCAAGAACAGCATTCCTTTGGGGGAGGGGGGTTCAAGTTGGACTGTGGATGGAATGTTGCTTTTTTCTTTTTTAAATGTATCTCTAGAAAGACAGCTGCTCGGGCCGGAAAGGCTCTTGGGGGTTCACCGGCACACTGGGAGAGCACTGGCCTCCGGATGCATGCTGCTCCCATGACTGGCCTCTCTGAAGTTTCTTGTTAGTGGGAAGCCAGAAATGTGGGGAGCATTCTTCAGATGGGATCAACCTAGCTCTCAATTTTTTTGTTAATTTCTAAATTCTATTCCTTTCCAAAATAGAAATGACGGGTGCTTGCATGAATCATCCTACTTGCTCATTTACATATGGAATATTGTATGTGAATATTTTAAGTTGTTGTACCCTTAAAATATAGTCAAGGACTATATCCAGAGCTCAGAAGAAGCATCTCTGCTGCTGAAATCAAAGGAGGGGGACAGAGGCTTACCCTGGGCTACATGGGGGGGAGGGGGAGAGTTGGCGTGACTCAGTGAGCACCTCCATGTTGGTGGCTGACTTATTTACATCTGGGGATCTGACAGCCCAGGGTGTGGGGCTTGTGTGAAGTTGGAGTGACACAGCAGTGAGAAGAATCCCCTTCAGTCTGGACTAGCCCAACCAAGAATTGTTTCTATGGAAGCTTTGAAAGCCAACATCAGGCCTGGCCAACGTGGCTGAATGGTTGAGCATCGACCCTGAACCAGGAGGTTGCAGTTAGATTCTCAGTCAGGGCACATGCCCGGGTTGTGGGCTTGATCCCCAGTAGAGGGTGTGCAAGAGGCAGCCAATCAATGATTCTCTTTAATGTTTCTGCCTCTCCCTCTCCCTTCCTCTCTGAAATAAATAACAATATATACTTTTTAAAAAAGAAAGCCAACGTCGGGAGATACACCTAACCCTCTAGAACAGCGGTTCTCAACCTTTCACAGGGGTCGCCTCAGACCATCAGAAAACATATATAATTACATATTGTTTTTATAATTAATCACTAGGCTTTAATTATGTTCAATTTGTACCAGTGAAAATACACCCTGCATATCAGATATTTACATTACGATTCATAACAGTAGCAAAATGACAGTTATGAAGTAGCAACAAAAATAATTTTATGGTTGGGGTCGCCACAACATGAACTGTATCAAAGGGTCGTGGCATTAGGAAGGTTGAGCACCGCTGTTCTAGAAGATGCTGCTGAATTCATTTATTCCAGCAGGATGGACTGAGCACCTACGATGTGCCACCTCCTCACAAGTCTGCTCTGCACCCGGAAGCTGGAGGAGAGTTTTTTATAACCTGGCCGTTTCTGTCCATCTGAGGCTGACAGTGAGGTGATTCTACCAGAGAAATCGGCCTCAAATTCAGAAGAGCCTCAGGCTCATGTCTGGTCTCCTCAGATAAAACGGGCACAATCTTGGAACTTCCAGGGAAAATCAGAAGGTTCTAAATCAAAATAAAGTGGAGGAAAGGCAGCCAAAGGATTTAGGTCAGGAGACTGCAGGAACCCCTTCAGGGTCTTTAAACCCCAGCTGGGCATTAGGGCCATCTGAATTGGTCAGATTCCTGCATTCTGCCCCAGATTACTCAATCTGCTGGCCGTCTGTTATTTCACAATCTGCTGATAATGGTCAGATCTGGAAATCACTAGGTATGGTAGGGATTGAGGGAACATGGCTTCTTATTCAAAATGAAGCCCCCGAAAATCCAGTTTGGAATTTCCAGTTTGAGGACAAAAGGCTGGAACTGGCTAAAGGCCCCTGTCCCTCACCCCACCCCCAGCCACACCCAAGTTCAGCAGCTTTCTTAGTACCCAGTCAGGTTGGGTTGAAATCCTAAGGGCAAACCCATCTCAGTCCCCACTAATTCTTCCTTCTAGAATCTGATCATCAAAACATTTTTTTAAAATATATATATTTTTTATTGATTTCAGACAGGAAGGGAGAGGGAGAGAGAGGTTGAAACATCAATGATGAGAGAGAACCATTGATCAGCTGCTTCCTACACACCCCCTACTGGGGATGAGCCTGCAACCTGGGCTTGTGCCTTTGACCAGAACCGAACCTGGGACCTTTCAGTCCGCAGGCTAACTCTCTATCCACTGAGCCAAACCAGCTAGGGCAAAACATTTTTATTTTTCATTTTGAAAGTATGTTTATTAAAGTTGGGGACAATGAAGTAAAGGAAGGGCTTAGGATAGAAGAAGCAACAGGAGAGCCGAGGCGGTTGTCTGCTTTGGCTCCCTGGAAATCCTCTGGGAAAGTGGGCCAAGCGGGGCCGCTGTCAGCTCACTGAACCTGGTCATGGGATTTTCAATGCACAAGCCCACCCAGCAGAGCGTGCTGTGCTCCCTTCTGTGATGCAAACAAGATCTCAGGGAATGAGAGTTGCCTTTGACTAGGTCATTTGGGCCAAGTTCACAAGTTAATTTGGGCCCGCATAAGTGTGGTGTATGTGCTAGTGACACGCTAGTGACAATAATCAAGAGAAGTATTAACATTTACTGCGGTTTATTAGAGCCTAATGCTGTTCACAGGCACGCAGGGGACTCTCTTGCTTTTAAGAAGCTGATGCTGCACCTGGAGAAAGGCCAATCAGAAACAAGATCCTGTCTGCCAAATGTCAGTAGGAGTGAAGGCCATAGAAAGAGCCCTGGATAGAGTCAGATGACCTGGGTTCACCAATCTCTAAGCAAGGATCAGTTTCCTGTCTGTAAAATGGGAAGAATAAGACATGGTCCAAGGTCATGGTAATAGGAAGCGTGGCCACTGAACTCGGGTGCAGAAGCCTGGGGAGACCGGAGCCACCTCCATCTTGAACTGCAGTCCTAGGTGCAATGTTTTAAAAGAAATGGGCATCATTTCAAGCCAAGAGGCCCCAGAGAAGGCGCAGGAGAGTTTGTTGAGGCTTCTCTGAGGCCCCAGTGAGATCCTATGACTGTTCCCCCATCAACTTTCCCTCCTCGTGCCCTCCCACGGGCTGCCCGGACTGGTATGAAGCAACTTGGCCGAGCTCTGCACCAAGGCCTTGCAGAGGGTGTGGCCAGTATAGCCACTGCCTTGGGGACGCGGGTGGGGAATTAGCCCAGTGCATTCCTGTGTGGGGATTATCGTCCTGCTGGAAGTGCAGGGCCAAACCAGGAATCCAGCTTTGTCAATCCAATTGAGAAACCATTTCTTGAACAACTACTTGTGCCAGGCATTGGCGTTAAGAGTAAGATATGCTAATGTCCTCTAGTCCAGCGTTTCCCGGACTAGGTGTTGTGGAATCCTAGATTCTAATCAGGGGCCCTTAAAGGGCTCTGCTCGCACTCAGGGAAACACTGCAAACTGTCTTGTCGGGTAGTTTGATGCTTGGAACACAGTCCTTCCCCTGCCCCCCGACATGCAATGTCTACTAATGGGGAGCTAAAGGATCCCTTGGGGGTATGGCCCTTCCATAATTCCAAATACAACTTCTTTTTCACAAAAACTGATTTTTAGAGAGGGGGGAAGGGAGAGAGAGACATCGATATGAGCCTGCACCCTTTAGGTGCATATACCCAGGCATGTGCCCTGGCCGGGAATTGAATCAGCAACCTTTAGGTGCACAGGACAATACCCAACCAACAAAGCCACACCAGCCAGGGCCAAATATAGTCTTGAGGAAGTCAGAGAGCTTGCTATGAAAATTAGGAGAGGATGGAGCTGCCTCTTGGGTGCCCACAGAATTCTGGGCAGAGCCGTTCTCAGCCCTCGCTCTGACTCAGGCAAAGTGAGGGTGCCCTTGTCCTGGGAGCTGCCCTGAGCAAAGGGCCTGTCTTCAGAAGGACCACATGCTACACCAGGAAAGGCTCTGAGTCATGTGGGCTGTGTGATCTTGGGTTCGATATGTGATCTCTCTGGGCTCCTGTCTCCGTATAGACTGGGTCATTGATTGGTCCTCAACACTGATATCTATCAAAGATCTTTTCTCTGTCTAATATTCGTTCCCCTACATCAGGGGTGGGAAACCTTTTTTCTGCCAAGGGCCATTTGGATATTTACAACATCATTCGAGGGCCATACAAAATGATCAAGTTTAAAATTAGCCTGCTCTATTTGGGTAAACTTTTCATGAACTCACCCCCAATGCCTTGGCAGGGCCAGACCAAATGATTTCGTGGTCCTTATAGAGCCCACAGGCGCGACGTCCCCCACCCCTGCCTGACATGCACTCCGGTTACTACCACATCACCCAGTTTTATTAAGTTTTGCAAGAAGATTTTTTTGGTTAAAGCGATTGTGTTCTGGAGAGGAGCTGGGGTGGCCCCTTAGAACGACCCAAATGGGGGCTCCCACCATTTATCTTAACAGATGCCTTCGGTCAGAATAGTTCCCAATTGACTCTGTGGGGTTGTGGCCCCCTCCTACTCCACGTTCTAAGGCAGGCTGGAGACACGTGGTCTGCCCCACCCTTGTTGGCTTCAGTTTCTGAATCGGGTTGTACTGGTCTGCTTTCTGGCCCTTCCCACCAGCCGGGAAGCCTGGATCGCGGGCTGGGGGAAGCCGGAGCTGCTCCCACCTGGCTCCCACTGCCCCTAGCCACTAGGTACCTGCTCTGGGCCCTGGATCCTTTAAATCAGACAGCAAAACGCTGGAAGATTGCATCCTGGTGTGGGAACAGGTAAGAAGACAGTCGATTTTCTCTCACATGGTTTTCTTTGCCAGATTTCTCCACCCTGATTTAGCTGCTTCCTTCACAGATTACAGCAAGAGGGATCTGAGCTAGACTTGAAAGACAGTCCCAGCCAAGAAGCTCTGAGCTATGTCTTGTAGAGAAATGGTGTGGATTTTCTGTTCTGGGTTTCTTCATTTTTGAACCTTTGCTTTCTTCAGTCTTGCAGGGGAAAACAAAACCAAAAAAATAGATCCAAATCACCGTAAAGCAAATTACTTCTCTCCATGTTCCCTTCTGAGGTTAGTAAATTGACAAACCCACATTCTTAAAAGATTGTCATGGGTTACTGGGTGGCTGCTTCTTTGCACATTGCTTTAGGTTTTTAGACCTTAATGTATTATGTGCCTGAATTTTTACCATGTGCAAGAATTACCTCATCAAAAACGAATTGATTTTAAATTCTTTGAAGGAAAGGAAAAAAATAAAATGGCATAGACGAGTCTTTCTCATTCAAATGCTATTCTGAAATTAAAATGTTCTGCTTTTACAGTTTGCATTTGTTTAATTATTTTTTAAATAAAACCATGATGCAGTCACTAAACCATTTATAATCTAATACACTTTTTAAAACGAGATTTTAAATTGATTGTTAAAGAGAGAGGAAGGAAGAAGGAAAGAGAGAGAGAATCATCGATGTGAGAGAGAAACATCGATTGGTTGCCTCCTGCATGCCCCCAACCAGGGATCGAGACTGCAACCTTTTGGTGCATGGGACGATGCCTAGCCAACTGAGCCATGGCTTGGCTGCATTTATTTTATTTTTATTTTTTCTCTTTCTTTTTTTAATATCTTTTTTTATTGATTAAATTATTACATATGTGTCCTTATCCCCACATTACCCACCTCCCCCCACTCATGCCCTCATCCCCCTGTTGTCTGTGTCCATTGGTTAGGCCTATATGCTTGCATATAAGCCCTTTGGTTGATCTCTCCCCCTTACCCTCGCCCTTCCCTACCTTCCCTCTGAGGTTTGACGGTCTGATCAATGCTTCTCTGTCTCTGGATCTGTTTTTGTTCATCAGTTTATGTTGTTCATTATAGTCCATAAATGAGTGAGATCAAGCATTTTAAATGAACATAATAAACCAATGAACCGTGTCATTGTTAAGTTCCAGGTGGTATCTGCCACCTTAACAATCCTCTGTCACTCGGTTGTAAAGTTGGATTGCTTCTAGGTGTTCTGTAATTAATAATTCCACTTCTATGGCCATCTCTGCGAAAATAACTTTCTTTAGTCTTTTAGATTCCCCCCCCCCCTTTGTGTTTTATTTCCCATCCAGAATGAATACTGGTGCAAAGGGCAAGAACATTTTTGTAGCTCAGCTCATGTTACCCATGGGGTCAGCACACTCATAGGAACTATGAAACTTGTTTCCTAATTTCCAGGACTGTGAAGGCATGAGGGAGTGGGTAGAGATTGTTTTCTCTGGGGAGTTTAGGAAGGAGGATGAAGCCATCTAACAGTGGTTCAGACGACCTTTGAAAGCAGCTGTTCGACCTTGACCTCTTGCCTAATAAGTTCAATTAGTTCACATGTAGACTACAGATTAGAAAACTTCTTGGGGGTACAAGGACAGCAGAGAGAGTGTACAGCACTTACGAAGCACCCTCGGAAGGCTCTTTCAGGCCTGGGGCTTTCCCTGGATCATTCTTGAACAGCCGTGGGCAAACTACGGCCTGCCGGCCAGATCCCGCACGTTTGAAATGAATAAAACTAAAAAAAAAAAAAAAAAAGACCACACCCTTTTATGTAATGATGTTTACTTTGAATTTATATTAGTTCACACAAACACTCCATCCATGCTTTTGTTCCGGCCCGCCGGTCCAGTTTAAGAACCCATTGTGGCCCTCGAGTCAAAAAGTTTGCCCACCCCTGTTCTAGAAGCTGGGCAGAATGGAGAAGACCTTCTCGAGGGCATGTTGACCTCTCTCTCATCCAGCCACCTGTTAAGGCTTGTTTGACTATGTGTGCTAAGCCCCTCTCTGTGCTTGGGCTGCAAGGCTAGGCATCGGGGGATAATAGGTCAGGTTGGTGTCTTTCCTAAGGTCCCCCAGACTCGTGGCCTCTTACTGCCATCAGATCTGGATGCCACTCTTTCTACCTCTCAACCATCTTCCTCAAAACACAGGTTTGAGGGGTGGACAGAGTGGAGAATTCCCCTGAAGCCTGTGGGCACACGTTGCTCCCCACGCACAGATTACTGGGAGGCCAGGGTAGCAGGAGCCAGGCTGGCCAGCCTGGGTTCCAGTCCTGGTTGCACCAGTTCCCAGCAGTGGGCAGTCATGGGACCTCTCATCATCAGTTCCTTATCTGTAACATGGAAATGTTAACATCTGCGCCGTAGAATCGCATAAGATAACATAGGTCCGGCTGCTGGCACTCAGGGACCCATTGTGGAAGGTGAAGACCAGGGGTGGGCAAACTTTTTGACTCGAGGGCCACAGTGGGTTATTAAACTGGACCGGTGTACCGGAACAAAAGCATGGATGGAGTGTTTGTGCGAACTAATATAAATTCAAAGTAAACATCATTACATAAAAGGGTACGGTCTTTTTTTTCAATAGTTTTATTCATTTCAAACGGGCCGGATCCGGCCTGCGTGCCGTAGTTTGCCCACGGCTGGTCAAGGCCATGCTCTAGAGCAGTGGTTCTCAACCTTCCTAACGCCGCGACCCTTTAATACAGTTCCTCATGTTGTGGTAACCCCCAACCATAAAATTATTTTCGTTGCTACTTCATCACTGTCATTTTGCTACTGTTATGAATCGTCATATAAATATCTGATATGCAGGATGTATTTCCCTGGTTACAAATTGAACATCATTAAAGCATAGTGATCAATCACAAAAACAATATGTAATTATATATGTGTTTTCCGATGGTCTTAGGCGAGCCCTGTGAAAGGGTCGTTCGACCCCCAAAGGGGTCGGGACCCACAGGTTGAGAACCGCTGCTCTAGAGCCTTTGGGTGAATTAACCATAAAAAGTGGGCAGAAAACTCCTGTGTTCATTTTCTCGATCAACATGTATCAGCCTGTGTGGCTATGGTGCCGGAAACTAGGAAGAGGCCCATAAGAAAGACTCCCTGCTCTTGACAGGGCACACAGCCCATCTCGTGGGAGCAGAGCAGGCTGCGACAGGCTGCCGGTCACTCTGGGACAGCTTCCTGCTTAGGAAGGAACAACAGGCTATGAGGCAGCGAGGAGAAGGGAGCAGGCATAGCAAGTGGTGGGACAGCTGAGCGGCATCTTGGGAAGGGAGTTTGGAAAGTTCAGGAGAGCTGCAGGGTTGGGCGAAGAGCCTGGGAGACGAAAGCGAAGAATCAGTGGAGACCACCTTCTACAGAACCTTGAGGATTTGGACTTTATCTCAAAGATGTGGGGATTTAGGCAGGTTTGGGGATGCCTGTTCTGGGACAGGGGATGGTGGTGGAGGCCTGGAAGACCCCCAGCCTTCCACCTCATCTCAGGGGCTTTGATGATACTCCAAATAAATAAATGCAGAAAGTAGGATTCTCAGGAGAGGCTTGGTGAGGGAGCCAGGCCTGGGAGTTGGGGCCTGGGGTTCTGTGGTTCTGGTCCCAGCAACTCCACCACCAGAGTAGGTGGGCCTCCTCCCTCAGGTGAGGGTTCAGGGCAGTTAGGCTTCTTACAACTCTCTCCTGGGAGTCCAAATGTTTCTGGAGGCTGTGGAACCCCTCCACCCACCCAGGCTATAGACTAGTGATGGCGAACCTATGACACGCGTGTCAGAGGTGACAGGCGAACTCATTTTTTGGTTGATTTTTTCTTTGTTAAATGGCATTTAAATATATAAAATAAATATCAAAAATATAAGTCTTTGTTTTACTACGGTTGCAAATATCAAAAAATTTCTATATGTGACATGGCACCAGAGTTAAGTTAGGGTTTTTCAAAATGCTGACAGGCCGAGCTCAAAAGGTTCGCCATCACTGCAATAGACATTTCTCCAGTGACGGCGGCCCTCCGTGACGCAGTCTCAGAAGGAAGAGTCATTTCTGGAATAGACAGTCTGGCCCTTTGACCTCAAGAGACTCCATGAAGTTCTGAGAACCGGGGCCTGCAGGCCTGTGACAACCCCAGGGGGTTTCTGGGCTCCAGCCATCCTGAGTGAATGAGGGCCATGTCCTATACTTGGGGAGTGGTGTCCCCTGGGAGCAGGGCTACCGTCAGCCTGGGAACCTACCTCCTGAGCTTTCCAGGGCCACTGGAGAGGCCTGTCTGCACATCCCAGCCGGGAAGGGCTCAGTACCCAGCCAGGGCTGCCTCCCCATCGCAGGGGATCGGAGGTAGGTAAGTGGGGAGGGGTGGGTCTGCAGTTAGCAACGTTGCAGTCAAGGTGATGAGTCTGAAAGACAAAGAGACCTTGGTTTTGCTTGGCAGCTCTCGGGAAGGGCTGGACCCTGCTCCAAAGCTTTCTGGGGGCCCGCTGCTGTCATAGCGGGAGGACGTTCACATCCTGGCCCAGATTCTCCCCCCAGGTCCCAGCCCCCACTCCGCCTGTATCACCTGCACGTCTCCTCAGTCCTCCTTCCCTGGAACCACACCTTTCCTTCCCTCTTTCCCAAGAGCCAGGACTTCCCGGCTTCCTTGTCTTTCTACTTTCTCAGATCATTAAGTTCGCTTGGTGAGCATTTTTTAAAAATCTACCATAATCATAGATATTAAGCACATTTACATTGCTATGACACAGATCTCTTGCAAAACTGAAACTCTGTCCCCACTGGACAATGACCCCCACTTTCTACCCCTCCTACCTACTGGCAACCACCATCCCACTATATGTGTCTATGAATTTGACTACTCAGGTATCTCAAACAAATGGAATCATATAGTATTTGTCTTTCTGTGTCTGGCTTGTTCCTTTAGCATAAGGTCCTCAAAATTTATCCATGTTGTAAAATTTTATTCCTTTTTAAGGCTAAATAATACAGGTGTGGGCAAAAGCAGGCTTACAGTTGTGAATACATGAAACACGGAGTTTATTCTTGTATTACATACTTTTTCATACGAACCACTGTAAACCTACTTTTGCCCACCCCTGTATTTCATTGTGTATACACACCACATCTTGTTAGTCTACTTATCAGTTGATGGGCTCTTGGGTTGTTTCCATGCTTTAGCTATTGTGAATAATGCTGCTATGAACATGGTGTTCAAATATCTCTTCAAGACCATGCTTTCACCATAGCTGGTTTGGCTCAGTGGATAGAGTGTT